TGTAAACTACGTTTGTATATGTCTGAATATCTTGCATGTATGAATTGTAAATCAATATTGTAAATGCCTGAGCCTCAAACACTCATGAATAGGGAATCACCACTGTATATATCAGAATATCATACATCCATGAATTGTAAACTACGTTTGTATATGTCTGAATATCTTGCATGTATGAATTGTAAATCAATATTGTAAATGCCTGAGCCTCAAACACTCATGAATAGGGAATCACCACTGTATATATCAGAATATCATACATCCATGAATTGTAAACTACGTTTGTATATGTCTGAATATCTTGCATGTATGAATTGTAAATCAATATTGTAAATGCCTGAGCCTCAAACACTCATGAATAGGGAATCACCACTGTATATATCAGAATATCATACATCCGTGAATTCTAAATCACGGTTGTATCTGTCATAATGCAATGAATTATGAATCACAGTTGTATGTGTTTGAGTGTCATACACCCATGAATTGTAAACTATGGTTGTATATCTCATTATCACTAATAAATTCATTGGGATGAGCTCGCCCACTGACAAAACTTCAGCTTCTCTGATAGTCGTATCATTACTTTACTTGCCATCGTCCTAGTAAAATCTGCTGTCAAAATTTGTTAAATATAAAAGTTTATATCAAGTGGCAAATCTTTGCAGAGACATAAACCTTAAGGATAACTCTGAAATGAATCCCAGCATGACCACACCGTCCTCGATAAAATTCCTAATATGTTTCAACTTTCTAATATTGAGAGTATTCAACCCCAATAATATTAAATAGAGGATGGAAATGATGGATTTGAGAATAGCATGTAAAGCCAAAATAGTTTTTTACAGATCTTAATTATCCTTAGCTGACTTCCAATTACTATTGAATGTGATAGGAACAAACGAACCAAAGGCTAGCGAATTTTGTATCACCGATTTAGAGATGATTTTCACATCCTTCTTCACCGCACACACAACAATACACAATTGTAAGGAAGCAGATGAGCTCAGGTCTTCGCATTTGATCATAATAATATTGTACTGCTTTTCATTCTACAAACTGCTAATGTCCGCTAGCACATTCTTATAGCTCGACCGTTAAACTTCATATATTAGGAAGCGCTATAAAATCAAGACGACCTTCACATTATTACAATCATTATTTCTACATCATCAAAGGCAAATATATAATAAAATATCCTTATAATAATGACCCTTTGATTGTAAAGAAATAATCGATGTTTATTAGCAAGATATTAAAATTTTATTCTAACCATAACAACATCTAATTTTAATGCCTCTAAGAATAATTTCGATTTCATTTTTTTAAATTGATAAAATGCCGCACTTTTAACTTTTCTCTTGGCTTCCAGTTCTGCAACTATATCACGATACTGCCAACCCACTTTATGCGCGAGACGTCAAACTGTGTTACCGTTGGTTACTTGCGTAACTTATAAGTCAAATTAGTTAGTCCGTACGTTCAACAAGCAAGCAGTCAAACTCATCTGATACTCACATGACAAACAGGTTTCCTTCGCAATGTATATGAACACCAACAATAAAGAATACGTTAAAAACACATCTTTTAACTCGAACTTTCCTAAAAACTTCTGAAGCCATAATACATGAAAAAAACTAGCAAAAAGAGATTGTATGTCATCAATTAAATGATTGAAAATGTCCACATACAATATTTACCTGTGCAATACTTCCTTCGTGGTTTCAGTGTTAAATGTCGCAAAGTTGCGGGATGTACTTGTCGTTAACTCGATCATAAGGTTGTGGAATACCATCGAACGTCTTCAAACAAAGCAGTGCAGCCCTTCCACGATGCATTTTGTGTGGTAACATACCACTGACAGTTCGCCAAAAAAAACGTGCACGGAAGTGGTACGGACCACGCGCCGTTTAACGTTGCATCGCTTACGCAGAAAGCTCACAAACTTTAGTTTGGAATGATGGAAGTTACCAGAAATGGCAATATTTTCGCACCGCACAACAACAATTTTCTGACCAAGGAGAAGCTGTTTGGCAACAATTGATGCCAGCCGTCCCAAAAGATGATCTTTTCCATCAATAATAATAGGCTTATCAACTAAACCCATAATTCTGAAACTGACTTAAACTAAAACAGTATAGGAAGGACACAGATGACTACTTTAATTTCTATTATGCAAGGCAATGGTCGCGTAACGATCGAAAATATAATCAACAATATTATTGAAAGTGAAAAAGCGACGAACAATCACAAATTACCAATCTCATTGGGATAAACATGGCCGTTGATAGCCTTTTTAAGCATTCATCATAAGCAACAAAAAAACCCTCTTATTCAGTGAACAGTAACTGGTCACAACCCAACGAAAGACAAAACAAACACAATCACACCACACAGGCACACTTAAAGATCAAATTCCACATCCAAACGAACTACAGCGGAGTAGGATATGCCGCAGAGGCAATCGAGGCTATTACAGCTCGAAATTCAGAAATCGAAATCGACCAGTCGCAATTAATGTGCGACATCTTGCTTCTAAGAATCGTTGTCATTGCAACAATGACAGTAGTCGTCCCATGAATATACATCATAATTGCGGTCAAAGCATAATGTATAAATGATACATATCATCCGAACCTGTTAATAGGTCTGATTTATCGTCTTTTGTCTACTATAACGTTAATCATCTCAATCTTAATTGTTACATATCGTTATCCCTTTCTCTCTTATACTATATTATATTTATACTATATTGTTACTCTTCTCTATCTTAATTTTTATATTATATCGTTATCACCTACAATTTTAATTCTTATTTTTTTTTTAACATCGTTATTCTTCTGGTTTTTAATTCTAATACAATATTAACCCTTACAATTATTATAAGAATTAAAATAGTAAGGGATAACGAGATAGCATAAGAATTAAAATGGAAAAGGATAACGATATAGCATAAAAATTAAAGTCGAGAAATGATTGTCGTGAAAGTTTGTCTCAAACTTGGGTAATTAAACCTTTATTTTTCGAAGACGTAGTATGAATAAAAAAAAAGAAAGAGGAATAAAAAAGAGAAGAAATTTATAATAAAAAAGAAGAAAGGCGGAATTGAGGTTGGTTGATCGAGGAGTCGTCGACAATAATCATAATGAATCGCTTTGTTTATTAGAATTGAATTTATATGAGTGAGGATTGGGCGTGTTATCGGAGCAATTGTGTGAAGAATTCGAGGTGTTTACAAAGAAAAGATTAAAATGAAAGCTAATTTCAATTTTACATAAAAATCATATGTGAGGAACTGGATGTGTTTACAAAAAGGAGATTAAAATTACATGTGTGAATACCGTAAGATTGTTTACAATTTAAAAAGAAGAGATGAATTATGATAGTATGAAATTAGTTAGAAGTTTTCGCGAAATTATAATTCGCGATACTCTCAAAGGGGGAGAGAAATTGTTTTAAGAGGTAATTTTGAGAGAGTGATTTTGAGGTATATAGTTAAATGTATGGAGTTTAATAGGTGGGATTTCTTCTTTAGTTAGAAATTGAGTGTGTGTAGGGAGAGTAATGATGGTAGTTTGATTTGAATTTCGTTTTGAAGTATTACAAAGGAGAGATTGAACTAATTTAAATTTCCACTTAATAATAACTAAAATAGTTAATATTGTCACGATAATTATACAGATAAAAATCAATTTCCAATGTGTTATCACGTTTTCAAATTCTTCTTCTATCGGTAGAACAGTTTCGTTGAATTTCCTTTCCATTTGTTCGATAATTTCTTTTCCTTCTTCAGAGATTTCTTGCCAGAAGAGTTCATCTTTCATTTGATGTGGTATTGAATTAATTGTTTTTTGAGTTTGAGTTAGGATTTCCAATTCTGCATTAATTCTCTCAATTTCAAACTTACTTATTAAATCTCCTTTGAATTCGATATTTTCAATTGTTGATTGTTCTGATTTGCAAGGAGCCACCATCAAATTTCCGTTAATTCTTTTAGCTATCACATCGTTTCTTTGAAGTATTAGTTTCGTGGCAAGGGTAGGATTGCTGATTGATAGCCATTTGATCAAAAGTAATAAGTTATTTCTGTTTTGGCAATTTCTCTGCTATGTTTCTTTGAGTTGTTGAAGGAATTCTTGTTTTAGTGAATCAGAAAAGTATCGAAGTTTTACATTTTCAGAATCATACTTTCTATCTGGAGACTTTTCCATCATTAATAGTTTATTTGTTACTCTTCGTTTGAATTTTGTAGTAGAGTTCGAGTCATCTTCAACGTCTAGTTCAATAACTATATCGCCCTGCATTAAAATTGGAGAGGTGAATCTACAATTTTTGGTGTTTAATACAGGGGGATTTTTATCAATTATAAGCGATGCTTGTATCTCATCGATGATGAAGTGGTTGTTATACTTTGTAGCCTTGAATCTTCCGATCTTTCGATATAAGCTGTCGAGAACAAGCTCGAAATTCCACTAGAAATAATCTTTGTACCGAACAATCGAATTTAGCAAAAGGTCAAATTTAAATCAATGTATTTATATTTAAGCAAATCATGTTAATCATTTATTGTAAGTTTTATTGTAAGTCAAATTCCTTAATGACTCATAGATGGTAATGTGTTAACAAATTCCCTTGCTAATCTGTCATATTATCTAATGCACATCTGCTCCAATCCTTTGTTTGTTATCTAATTCCGTTTACAAAAACTATCTATCCCATAGCCTTCCTCCTAGCTTCCATTGTATCAATCGCTTTATCTCTCCACCCTCAAATCATCCTATATAAGGGCAATTACCACTCAACCGGAGTTTTATCCTTCCCAGCATTGTTACCAGTCTCCCCGTTGCTTAGCTCATCCTCGTCACTAAATTGTCATACTACTGATTGCTTGTTTGTTTTAATTACCCAAGATAAAGCACTCGACTCAATTGTGCAAGTAAACCAACCCAATTCAATCCATTCACAACACCAATCCAATCCAATACATTCACAACAATTTTATGGTGCCACGAGCCGGGAACATGTCATCCATCATCATCAGAATCGCAGACCAAACAAAACGAAGATTGTGTGAAGTCCTCAACGAAATCAAGAGTCTGAACTTGGATTCGGTCGACCAAACGACAACAACCGATGAAACAATCCGTCTTCATCAGGAACGGAGAAGGATCACCCAAGAAAAAATCATGCATATCCAAATATACTTAGAGGCGTTAGAATCGGTCAATACAGAGTGGAAACAATTCATCCAGCAGATTTCAGTCTCAACCAAAAGAAAAGAAGAAGAAGATCGATACCTTCAGATAAACGACGATGAATCAGGTATTACCAACTTAATTTTACAAGCAAAACAAACTGTAGTCATTTTAAAAATGTATCAAAATGATTCGGAGTTCATATTACAACGGCTAAATCAGTCTATGGTAAGGGAGGAAACAACTCAACCCAAGGAACCCACACAAGCGGGTAAATACCCTACAGTAAACCTCCCACAACTACCACTGCCCACATTCAGTGGGAATCCAAGACGCTGGAGGGAATTTTGGAATAGCTTTGATACAGCTATACATCAACAAGCAATTCCCGATATCCATAAACTAAACTATTTCATCTCATGTCTCAAAGGAGATGCCCTCCAAGCTATCAGAGGTTATGACATAACTCCGGAGAATTACAGTATCGTAAGAAATGTCCTCGTCGAAAAGTTTGGGCAGCCTTACGCCATCAAACGAGCCTTGTTCACCGAATTATACTCCATCAAAAAGAACGATAGAGAGTGGAAAGCAACGCTTGAGGCCATTGAGCGAACACTTCGACAATTGGAGGCCATCGGTGAGAATTTAGAGCAGTCCGGTATCGAAATAGCTGTGGAAGGGAAATTGCCAACCTGGATCCTAGAACAGGTTTACAGAAGAAAGAGGCAGGAATCGTGGTCTGTCACCAAACTCCGAAACTTCCTCACGGAGCTTGCATCTGTGAACGAAGAAGTAGTACAAAGCCAGTCCCTATGGTTTAAAGGGAATATGGAGAATCAATCTCCAATAAAAGGCAAGCCAAGACCACGACACGATCCCAATGAGACTTCAGCCTTAACAACCTCTGTTCCGGAGAAACCCATCATCAAAGCCCTATCAAGACCTTGTGCACTATGCAACAAGAATCACTGGGATGAAGAGTGCCAGATTTATCCCACTCTCAAAAAAGGCTGGAACGTCTGAAGAAACTAAACGCTTGCCTCAACTGCTTCAAGATCGGACATATGGCAGCCAGATGCAAAAACAAGAAACGGAATTGCTTCCACTGCAAGGGTCAACACAATTCCGCGCTGTGCCCTAACAAATTCAAGGAAATGCCCAATAAACCAGAGGATCCAGACTCCACTACCACGACAAATATAATAGTCGAAAAAGAGAAGAAACGTGACAAGCGCATCCTACTCTTATGCAAGCAGATAAATGTGTTCAACCCAACTAATCCAAATACTCAACAAAGGGCTTTAGCCCTATTCGACATTGGATCACAATTATCCTTTGTTTCAAAGAACTTAGCCAAACAACTAATGCTTAACGAAACAGATGAAGGGAAATTAAACATCGCTTCATTCGGCAAAAAGGACCCGAACACGCACCTTACAACCAGAATTGAAATAGGGATAAAAATCGGAAAGGACCGTACAGTGTTGCTCGAAGCGAACACCGTGGACTATTTAACAAACAAACTACAAGTAGTCAACTTAAGTGAAAGCGACATACGATCCCTCAAAGGAAGTCCAACAATTGATTTCCACAGTGAATGGAAGCAACCGGATATATTAATAGGAGCCAACCACTTCTTTCAATTCATCAATTTCGACAAAGCAGAGAATCTGCAATCGGGATTCACACTGCTCCACACTAAAGTGGGCCCGATCCTGGCTGGGTCTGGCTATACAAAGAAAATTTCTCCCAATTCACGAATGTCCTCACAAATAGTTTACGCCGCTAACACGATCAAGGTTCCAGATTTAGATCAATTCTGGAAACTGGAACTAATAGGCATACAAGACAAACCCGAAAACAATGACGATGAAGAAGCCTTAAAACAATTTAAGCAAACGATTAGAAAATCCGACGGACGATACCAGGTCGCATGGCCATGGAAAGACACCAGTTCCAAATTAAGCGACAATTTCGAATTATGTCTCGGACGCTTACAGTCGTTAATCAAGCGACTTCACCGCAACCAACATCTACTTACCACATACAATGAAACAATCAATGAACAGTTAAGATCCAATGTCATCGAAAGGGTAAGTCATTTCACAAACCATCAAGGTATTATCCATTACTTGCCCCATCATGAAGTGGTAAAATCAGATAACACCACGACAAAGGTCAGAATAGTTTATGACGCTTCCGCTCACCTCAGAGGCAGGAAAAGCTTAAACGATGTCTTGTATCGAGGCCCTATCACCCTTCCCGATTTAGCTGGAATATTAATTCGACTAAGAACAATGAAAATCATCATATTAGCTGACGTCGAAAAAGCCTTCCTACAATTAGAGTTGCTGCCAACGGAACGGGACTGCACACGCTTTCTATGGGTAAAAGATATTCAGAAACAGGTGGACAGAGATAATTTAATATGCTATCGATTCAAAAGGGTCCCCTTTGGAGTGATATCGTCACCCTTTTTATTATCAGCAACTCTCAATTATCATTTGGAACATTATGAAACTGAAACTGCACGTGAAATCAAGAAGAATCTCTACGTCGACAATATCATCTTATCAGCGAGCCATGAAGAGGAAGCCTTGAATAAATATGAAGAAACAAAATCAATTTTCAAGGATGCGTCAATGAACGTGCGAGAATTCCTCTCAAATGACCAGACATTTAATGAGCAACTACCCAAGTCGGACCGAGCACGAATGAGTCAAATAAAGAAAATATTAGGGATTAAGTGGAATCCACACAAGGATCATATCCAAATAACACTAAATCCATGGACCGAACAAACAACAACAAAAAGAACTATTCTACGGTTCATCGCCTCACAATACGACCCACTTGGATTCCTAGTACCACTGATAGTACCGTTCAAGATATTTCTCCAAGAACTCTGGAGAAAAAACATACATTGGGATCAACCCTCGACAATCAATTGATTGAAACCTGGAACAATCTTGTGGTAAAACGCCCAACTCATATCAAGGAAATCCCGCGATTCACAATCGATTTATCACAACAAATTACCTTTCATGTTTTCACCGATGCATCTACAGTGGCATATGCTGCAGTAGTATACGCCCATCAAAATACGCATACGTCGTTACTCTTTGCTAAATCACGATTAGCACCTATTAAAGGAATAACGATACCAAAGCTAGAATTACTAGCTATTCTCATCGGTGTACGCGCAGCTCAGTTTGTCATCAAACAAATGCAATTAGAAAATCCAAAGGTAGTGGTATGGTCGGACTCTCGCTGTGCACTACATTGGATACAAAACAACTCTCGCCTCCTACCAAAATTTATACAGAATCGTGTGGAAGAAATACAAATGGCGAAATTCGCATATCGGTATATCCCAAGCGAACACAATCCAGCAGACATTGCTACCAGAGGAACCATTCCGACTCGTCTAATAAGTTACGAGCCTTGGTGGAGCGGGCCCACATGGATCAATGGTAATGAACCGAATTGGCCTCATTGGGAATACGACGTTCCACAAGAAGAGGATAACGAAGAAGATAAGAATATAGTAGCAACAACAACCACAGAAGAAATCATCAATACAAATCGAATCAATCTCCTGGAGGCAAAACGATTCAGTAAATGGACAAAGATGATAAGAACAACAGTAAGAGTACTAAAATTTCTCAAAAAATTATCTAAAGGAAAATTAACCTGGTTAAGCAGCGTATCAGAAAGGAATCCGATTACACCCGAGGATTACAATCTCGCGGCGGAACTACTAATAAAACAATCCCAATCGGAAGGTATAACAGCAGAAGAAGTGGAAAAGTACAATCTGCACTATGCAGACAGGTACTGGAGATTCCAGAGCAGACTACAATTGCCGAACGACAGGGAATACTCATCCCAAACAATATATCTCCCCAGACACAATCGAATGACAGAACTAATTATTCAACACCACCACGAAACGACGCATCATGGAGGTATTCCTCAAACTATTTCCAGAATAAGAAAGCTTTACTGGATTCCGAAAGGAAGGGCTGAAGTCAAGAAGGTGTTAAACCGCTGTATGAGTTGCAAACGCTGGAAAGCCAAGCCATTCAAATTGCCACCTATGCCAAATTATCCGCAAGAGCGGATCACTGAATCAAGAACGTTTGGACGAATTGGCCTCGACTATTTGGGGCCGATTACTGTGAAGATACAATTGGAAAAAGCAAAGCGATGGATCGCCTTGTTCACATGCTTCACCACCAGAGCGGTACATTTGGAAATGGTGGACGATCTATCAGCGGAAAGTTTCCTAACTGCATTAAGAAGATTTGTTGCGCGACGCGGCTATCCCGAACTCATTCTTTCGGACAATGCCACCCAATTTCAGGCAGTTTTTCAAGCCATAAAAACGCAAGAATCACAACTCTCTAATTTCCTTGCTGAGAAAGGAATCAAATGTAAGACTATAACACCGAGAGCACCATGGAGCGGCGGAATCTACGAAAGATTAATCGGCCTAACAAAAAGGAGTTTAAGAAGAGCTATCGGTAGACGACTGCTTAAGGAAGGGGAACTAATCACACTGATTATCGAAGTGGAAAGCATTCTTAATACTCGCCCCTTAACTTACGTAAATTTCGACGACTCAATTATTTTGCGACCAATAGACTTCATCATTCCCAATGCTTCTTTGTCTATACTGAATAGCAATAACGACAGAGAAGACGAATTCTCACCTTATAGTCTAACCACACAAGAAAGGTTACTTCAGCACTGGTCGAATACCCTAGAAACATTGAAAACATTTTGGGAGATATGGAAAGACGAATACTTGAATAGCTTAAAGGATCGATACCAATTAGAACATAAATCTCCAAGAAATGTAGAAAAGAGACGGCCGATAGAAGGAGAAGTGGTACTGTTAGATGAGCCTCATGCACCACGTGGTACATGGAAACTAGCAAGGATAAAGAAATTAAACGTAGCCAATGATGGGTACGTCAGGAGCGCTCAGATCGAAACATCGTCAGGAAAACTTCTAAATCGACCTGTAAGCACGTTGTATCCACTTGAAGTTACTCCAGAAGAACAGTCTACTCCGGAGAACCCCGCGAACCCATCAGAGAGAGCAGAACCAATTATCCAAAACCGAAACACCACAACTGACACGAAGATTTCGAGTGAAAGTGGTGAGGAGCAACCTATTGCTCATCGAACACGGAGCCAGACAAATCTACAAAAAAGGGAGAAGTCAAATTTCGTTTTAACCAACTTACTGTTAACAGTAGCAATATCGATAATTCTACAAGCAGCAGAAACGAAGGAATGCAAATGGACATCAGGTGTTGAGAATCACAATGTTTTATCCTATAAACCCCAAATATATCCATTAGAACACTTTTCGCTCTTCCCTCGGGAGTGTCGAGAACAAGCTCGAAATTCCACTAGAAATAATCTTTGTACCGAACAATCGAATTTAGCAAAAGGTCAAATTTAAATCAATGTATTTATATTTAAGCAAATCATGTTAATCATTTATTGTAAGTTTTATTGTAAGTCAAATTCCTTAATGACTCATAGATGGTAATGTGTTAACAAATTCCCTTGCTAATCTGTCATATTATCTAATGCACATCTGCTCCAATCCTTTGTTTGTTATCTAATTCCGTTTACAAAAACTATCTATCCCATAGCCTTCCTCCTAGCTTCCATTGTATCAATCGCTTTATCTCTCCACCCTCAAATCATCCTATATAAGGGCAATTACCACTCAACCGGAGTTTTTCCTTCCCAGCATTGTTACCAGTCTCCCCGTTGCTTAGCTCATCCTCGTCACTAAATTGTCATACTACTGATTGCTTGTTTGTTTTAATTACCCAAAATAAAGCACTCGACTCAATTGTGCAAGTAAACCAACCCAATTCAATCCATTCACAACACCAATCCAATCCAATACATTCACAACATAAGCAATGACTGGTCGTATCATTGCTATTCCATATGATAATGCTAGTATTCGTTATGCATTCACCCTTTTGTTTCGA